CACACACACACACACACACACTCTATGCTGGCTCTGCATCAGCAAACAGCGTCGTCTAAACGACACTAAAGCTCTCTGAGCTTTTATTGGCAGCAGGCAGATGGTGCAGGAGTGAAAAGCCAATGAAACATCCGATATGTTTATGCTCTTCAGTAAAGCTGAACCGGCTGGACAGGAAGCAGCAGTGTTTGTGGGCGATGTGCTCTCAGATATGCCGCACTCGGCTCTGCGTGACAGAACTGTTTGCTTTGTTTGTTTGTGATGTTCACCGCAGCGTTGTGTATCGCTGTGTCATCGAGTCTCTGCTCTTTCAGTTCTTCGGAGAGGTTCACGAGAACAGGGTGAACGTGATCGTGGCTAACCTGACCGTGACAGACAAAGACCAGCCTCACACGCCGGCCTGGAGCGCCGTGTACCGCATCATCGCCGGGGACCCCACGGGACGCTTCTCCATCCCCACTGACCCCACCACCAACGAGGGCCTCCTCACGGTGGTCAAGGTGTGGTTTGGATGCACAACACGCACACAAAGACACGAGAATGACGTTCTCACAGATCTAAAAGCAGCAGCTGAGCTCGGCTGTCGGTGTGGTCGGTTTGTAAGAGCAGAGAGCAGAAGATCCGTGATCGGGATGTTTACGCTGTCTGACATGTTGCAGACAAACACGATGAGATGATGCTTCAGGTTGCACGTGTTGACGTCGGCGTCATTGTCATCCTTGGCTTTGTCTGTGCAGCCCATAGATTACGAGAGCACCCGCTCCTTCATGCTGACTGTGGAAGCGGAGAACGAGGTCACGCTGGTCCGCGGCATCCACTTGCCTCGTCAGTCCACGGCAACCGTCTCTGTTCGAATCCTGGATCTGAACGAGAGCCCGGAGTTTCGCCCGAACCCGAAGTCCATGCGACTGGAGGAGGGTCTGTCGGCCGGGTCCATGCTGACCACGTTCACTGCGCAGGACCCCGACCGCTACATGAGGCAAAGTATCAGGTAAGAAACTCCTGGAAACCGTTTGTGCACTGAAATAATCCTTAAATATATAATTACAGTTTGTAATTTAACAATAAACTGTTGAGCAGAGACGTGGATGTATGTTTCAATTTGATAAGAAGAACATTTAAATAGGTGGAGCCTTTAAATTAGTCTCACATCTATTAGAATAAATTGTGTCAGCGACGGTCACTGAAAAATTAAAATCTGAGTCGACTGTAATTCACCAACATTTATGTATTTTTCTACATGTACTCAGAGCTCATCTGCATGTTGATGGCTGCAGTGAGATTAAAGCTGAACCTGACGTATTAGCTGCTCATTCTTCACCTTGTTTTAGAGAAAATTCGTCTCGTGTGAAGCTGAGAATTTATAAAATGTTACAATTCAACGTTTCCAGACACAATTTTAGACTTTTTGATCAAAAACAGAGAAATCAGCACGTCTGTGTTGCTGTTTGCTCTCCTGCTGCTCACACAGTCGTCGCAGAGACGTGGACGGCGAACAGAACAAAGGAGGCGCAGCGCTGCTTCTAACCTTCCTCAGTAATCATTTTACTTGTAAATCCAGAGTCCGAGCACAGCCATCATCCTGACCTCGCACACGCGTGTGTGTGTGCATATGTTTGTGGGGACAACATGCCGTCACTTTCAGTGTCAGGGTCGGGCTGTGGTTCGGTTCAGGCGTGAGCAGAGAGAGCATCATCGTCCCCACACAGACATGAAAACGTGATCTTTGTGTGAAATCATAAACCTGTGAGGTCATTTGATGATGCAGATTTCAAGATTACAGGTTGAACTCTGTGTGAAGATTGACCAACTTCAACAGCTTTTCTGAAACAGCTCTTATTGTTGCTCAGAGACGCACGCCAGCCAGCGCGCCGCTCGGCGAGTGACTACTCTGAGTTTTCACATGACAGACATGATGTTGCTCTCTCAGCGTGAGGTTTGTGAGGCATCATTGTGAGCAGCCGCTCCTCCTCTGTGACAGTTTTTCTTCTGCTGGTCAGGTCTCATTTTAAGCGCATTAACAGAATCTTCCATCTCGGCCACATTTCTGTCCCCGTTTTCATATAAAAGCTCGATTTTGTTTTGAGAGCAGCTGCAGGTTCAGACGCTGCAGCACTCGTCCAAACGCTCAGCAGAAAGCCTGCAGGACCGATGCTTTTGTCCCAATCCTTCTTTCTTTTACATCCCACTGTTTGTTTCTAAATGTAGTGCTGAAGTCTTTGTAGCCTAGCAACAGCCAATAGTGGACGCACACTGCGCTCACAAAAATACGCACACACACACAAAGCGAGTTGTGCGGTGTGTAGAGCGGGCCAGCAGAACGTTTTTGCTGTTTGTTGCTCTCGGTTGTGTGCGTGCTCCATCTGTGCTCCGTTTCATCTCACCGATTACAAACACACTAACGGGATAATGTTCCCTTTCATGCCTGCTTCATGTGACTGTTGGGCTGACCTGCTTTCATTTGTTGAAGCTGTGCTGTTTGATCCATGTGCAGTGTTTGAAAGATGACTTTATGCTAACAGCAATGCAGATGCGTGACTGGAGTCTCTTACATGAATTCATTTCATCAACAGTCTGCAGGAATTTGCAGAGCTTTCATTGCTCTCTCCTTGGTTGTTTCACTAACAGTCTTTCTTTATCGTTTTTAAGAGTTAACGTTTGAATTCATTCCTGAGAGTAAATGAATGAGTTGTGGTGCCTTGAGAAAGCGTGCCGCAGTCCCCATACATCAGCTCCCGGGGGCTGCTCGGCGTGCAGCCAGGGAAGCAGATAAAGAGGCCTCTCTGTGGTGGCTTCTCATGCTGGCTCTCTCTCTCTGAACACAGGTACTCCAAGATGTATGACCCCGCCAACTGGCTGGAGATTAACCCGGCTAACGGACAGATTTCCACCATCGCCATTCTTGACCGAGAGTCTCCGTATATCAAGAACAACCACTACAACGTTACCTTCATGGCATCTGATAACGGTGAGACCTACAGGCAGCGACCCATCCCCCACACACAGAGGTGCATTGTGTTCACCATGCCTCACTGCTCCTTCATTAACTGTGTGCTGCTTCACTGTGGAGTCAGTGTCATAGTGCAGCAGGAAGTGCTGCATGGAAGCAGCCACGAGCTAAACTAATGACACAAACTGTTACCACAGCAGGTTTCTGCCATCATAACATGGTTTGGTTGAATTGTGCTTCTTGGTAAAATAAATAAGTGCTGGAGAACATTACGGTGGTTAAACCACTGATATAACTAACCTGTTAGTATGAAAAGGCTTCCTTATCTTGATAACTACAGTTGGTAGCACAAGTCACACTCAAACCCCCCAAAACCAGTGTTCCCACTGCTGAGTATGTAGGTGCACTCTGTGTTCCTCGATGGTGCAGTCGGAGCCGTCACAAAGACTGATGCCAGAGCTACGACCCACTTATTAAGCAAACTAAGGGCGCTGCATCAAAACCTTTCTGATTGCTCCGGTCGCCTGCAGTTTGCATCTAGTTTGCATGTTTGTGTCCAAACATTCACTGCTACACACTCATGGGAAAGGTGCAACACAAAAACCAAACATGTTCAAGTTCAGAGTGAAAATGCTTTGATTCACAAGCTTTGGTTTTAAAGGAAATGGCTGCTTCTGTCCACAGTTTCCTCTCAGAGAAT